CATAATTATTATGTTTTTTGTGACTCTTGGTTGTATCAACATGACAGTTTCCCCTTTTCTGGCAACACGTTGTGAAGAGGAGAAGTTGCCGTGCTCACAGCCAGCCATCTGAAGCCTGCTGCAGCTGTGCGCTGCCACGTGTACCTTGCTCTGGCCTTCTGCAGACTCTGCAGTCAGCCTTGCGGTTAGCCCAAAAAAAGACAGTGGCTTTATTTTTATGTTTAATCTTGAGACAAAGAGCATGAAGTATTTTTATACCTTAGGTCAAAGTTACTTTGATTATTCTGTTTTGTATTTGCTGTGGATATTTTTATTAGCTACATGGGTTCAGGGTTTCAGTTTTTATATTTAATTTGGAGACCAGGTTTCAAAACAATAGTTTAAAATAGTAAGGAACTTTTTACCATAAAATTAACATGTTGTCTTTTTGCAAAATAATTTAAAAATATTAAAAAACAACTTTGAGCTTTTTTTACTTTTATAACTTACATGTATTAAATATAAAACAAAGCAAGAAAATTATAAACACTCTGGGGAATCAGTTGTACTGAGATTGATACACATTAATAATTAGGAATTTTTGCTGAAATTGTGTATTATTAAAATTTTAAAAATATAGTTTGAAATTCAGGATGTGATGATTGTATATGAATTCTAATTATGTCAAAAATATTTGTTGTCTAGAATCATCTCAGGATGAATCATTATGGAACATTCAGTTTTTCTGAAAAGTAGGCTAAGAAATAGAACAGCGTTGTTGACTGTAACCATACAGTCAAGTATACAGAAAAATTAAGAATTTTTAAAAAGGTTTATTTATTTTTATGCGTAGAAGTGTTGTGTTTTTCCTGCATGTATATAAGTGTCCCATGTACATACAGTGTCCTTGGAGGCCAGAGAGGGTGTCAGACTTATAGGTAGTGAGTGGTGAGCCACCTTCTTATTACTAGGAACTGAACCTAGGTCATCTGGAAGAGCACTTAGTCTGGTTCTATTGCTGTGATAAAACACTATGACCGAGCCAGGAGGTGGTGGTGCAGTCTTTTAATCCCAGCAGGCGAATCTCCCTCCCACCAGCTTCTTTGTCTGACATATATTGATGTATTTTCTCATCTAGTCACTTCAACAAGCCAATGAAGAGGTATTTTTATTTCCATTTTGCACATGAGAAAGCTGGAGGTTCAGAAAAGTACTACCAACCGGGAGGCAGAGGTAGTGGCTCTCTATAAGTTTGAGGCCAGCCTGGTCTACAGAGTGAGTTCCAGGACAGCCAGGACTACACAGAGAAACCCTGTCTGGAAAAACCAGTCAACAACCAACCAAAAAACCACTCTGAACAAGATCAGTTTGTAAAGGAAAGGTTTTGTTTAATTGTTACAGAGTAGTCTGTCATTCAGGGCAGTCAGGGCAGGAGCTGGAGGTAGGAACCAATGCAGAGGCCACAGAGGAGCGCTCCTTATTGGCTTATTCTGCCATGGCTTTCTTGACCAGCTTTCTTACACCATCCAGGGCCACCTGCCCACAGGTGACACTGTCCCTAGTGCTCTGGGCCCACTCATGTCAGCCAGTAATCAAGAAAATGCACTACAGACTTGCCCCAGGCAGATCTTCTGGAGACGTTGACTCAGCTGAGAATCCCCCCACCCCCACCCCCTGCACCAAATGACTCCAGCTCGTGTCGTGTTGACAGAACTAGCCAGGACAGACAGCAAGTGCTGTCTAACTGCCTGATCCATCTCTCCATCTCCCAAAGCTGAGACCCTTGACAGAGTATTGGTGGGTCATTGCCTTGTGGTCTGGGAACAATTTCCAGTGTTCTAGACATGCTCAAGGGGAGTCGAGCCACGAGATTTTCTCTCTTCTAGTTTTGATTTTTTTCTCCCTCAGTTTCTTCATTCTTGAGTTTTGACTTTTGAGTCTCATCTTGGTTGCCTGATTTGCTTAGGAAGTTTTCTGGATTTGAAACCCCAGAGGTGTTCAATTTCTCTGCCAGGTTTACTCCTCCCTTACTTGGAGAACATCTGAACAGCCTGAATGTTTAGGACAGCCTTGCTTTCTTTCCTTCAGAGATCTGAAGACACGGTGCTGCAGTCTGTTCGCACTCGCTGGGTATTTCTGTGGAAAGTTTCCAGGAGTAGTGTGCTGTGTGTGCTGTGTGGCTTGTTTTATTACTCAGTTGCCCATGGAGTTCTTTTTTGTTTGTTTTTGTTTCAAGACAGGGTTTCTGTGTGTAATAGCCTGGCTGTCCAGGAACTAGCTCTGTAGACCAGGCTGGCCTCAAACTCACAGAGATCTGTCTACCTCTTTCTCCCAAGTGCTACTATTAAAGGCGTGCATCATCTCTGTCCGGTGCCTGTATACTTCTTAATTCTTAAAGTTCACAGCAATGTTCCCAGTTGCGTCTCTGAATCTCTACATGCCTCTTCTACATCTCAGTTACCCAGACTCCAGACTCACTGCATGTAGAAAGTAGAGACCCAGGACACCAAGCACACAATCTTTATCAAAATTTTCTGCTCACTATGGATAAAAATGAAAAATAGTAAACTTAATTAGTATTTTTAATATTTAAAGTATTAAAAATTGGAAACTAAGGCCTTTGCTGTTTGTATGAAGAGCTTCCTGGAGGTATAGGCAGTGCTTGCTTTTTTAAAACGCAGGACAAGCACCTTCCTAGGCATGGGGAGGCATTGCATTCCTTTCTAATTCTGGATGACCAGCAGGCATTTGATACTTTGCTCCATTAGTATCATGAAATATGTCTATAATTTCCTTTGCAGGATTACTTTCTCTGTGACATGTTAGGCCCTTATGTCACAACCAGTTTCTTAAGTTACATCAGTAATTTGGCCGATATTTCATATAATTGGGAAAGAATGAATTCTTTAAAAAGTAGACTTTAGAAAATTGGCCTTTGAGGAACAAATAGCATTAAACATTAAAAATAAAATAAATCCCAGTTAGAGAAAATACTTAATTGTAGTGTGTGTATGCATATATATGTGTGTGTATATGTATATATATAAAACACTATGTGTGTGTATAGGTATATGTATAACAAAATATATGTGTGTGTATATGTATGTATGTAATGAAATGTGTGTGTATGTGTGTGTGTAATGTTTCTAGGGCTCAGAGCAGCCTGGCACAGCATTCCTGAAAACCAGAAGCCATGAAGGAAGAAATGAATAGATTTACCTACATACTTAAAGCTTATAAGCTTATAGTGAAAACACTGCAAACAGAAATTAAAAACTAAAGAAAGAAAGGGTAAAAGATATTTACTTATATATAACAGACCATATTTATTGAGTCTCTTTTGACAATAGAAGTAGTCATTAGTAGCGTATAAATAGGCTTTTTTTCCAGAGTGGCTAATATAAGAAGGTGTGTATCCTTATTAATGCTGGAACTTGAGACTTTTTTTTTTTAACCCAGGAGATTGGCAAACTACAAAGCATCAATCATCTCAAATGTTAAGAGTAAATTGTAAATTGATATCCTGCTTGGTAGTAACTATCAAAATTCAGTATCTCGTCGACTCATCTGTTTCTAAGTGAGCCACAGAAATCACATGTATGAAGGTGACTGTGTCTACACATGTTTTCCTGTCATTCTTCATGTCGTGCACACGGGAGTAAATAAATGTATCCGTACTATTCAACCTTCTGAGGAGCTGGTTCTGGGTGGAAAGGTATGGGCTCCTGAGTCAGGTGACAAGCTTCGAATTCTGAATTCATCATGTCAGCTGCTCGACTTAGGCTTACTTGATTTCCTGGGTCCTGGTTTTCCCTGTGAAGTGAAGTCAGTTGAATCTCCTTCAGAGGATTGTTGAACTAACTAAACTCCTTGATGTGTAATAGATAGAGTGTAGAAAATAGTCACACAATAAATATGAGTTACAATTTCACTTTGTTATTAAAGTATTTCTGAAACATTCCAACATGCTGGGGTGGGGGGTTTTGGATGGCCACTGATGAAACATCATGGCCAAGGCAACTTATAAAAGGAAGCATGCTTACAGTTTCAGAGGGTTTTTATCACGGCGGGGAGTATGATGGCAAGCAGACAGGCGTGGGGCTTGAGCGGTAGCTGAGAGTTCACATCTCATCTGAAAGTTGCCTACAGAGAGAAACAGACATACCAAGCCTGATGTGTCTTTGGGGACCAAAGCACACCCCAGTGACACACCTCCTCCAACAAGGCCACACCTCCTAATTTTTCCCAAACAGTTTCACTAACTGGGGACCAAACATTCAAATATATGAGCCAATATATTTCTCATTCAAACAACCACAGGGGTACCTTGTGTTTTGAGTAAAATATAAAACAAACTTGAGACTAGTGATATAGATAGCAGTAAGTACCTGTTTGTGAATGCAGTTTCTGGATGTAGGTCAGTAACTGTAGAGTGCTTGCTTGTCTCATATGCCTCAGGTGCTGGGTTGGCACACAAACAATACATGTACATATAAATAGGAGAAATCGGGATATCCCTACTGCTATTCATTACCAGGAGAAAGGACTGTTCTGAAAGAGTCATTAAACTGATCTGTGTTCTGTTAAACATTAAAAATAAAATAAAATAAGTCCCAGCTCTTATCTGGGCATGGTAGTGTGTACCTGTAATACCAGTTCTCGGAAGGCTAAGGCAGGAGAGTTGTGGGTAACAGGTCAATGTAGGCTACATAGAGAGACCCCATGTCAAAAAGAAATGTTTTAAATAATACATGTGCATCTATCTGAGTGTATTAATACATGAATAAATCTAAAGGACTGAAGGCTGGTCTTAATGGTGGTAACTTCTAGAGAGTACGATTCTAGGAGGGAAATCACATTATCAGTTTTTAAAAGAAATTTTAATATGCTTTTCTCCAAGCATGCATTACATTTTCAGTTGTCCACAATTGTGTAGATAGTCCACCTTTTAAATCCTTTTCCTCTAAGCGGTGTCTACTTTCTCTCCCATTCTTTAGTGACTTATTAAGGTTTTTCTGCAGGAACATGCTTACCCAGCTGACGAACTCATGCCTTTAACCTGTAGAGGCCGCGTCCGAGGCCAGGAGCCGAGCCGGGGTGATGTAGATGACGCCTTGGGAAGGTGAGTACGAGCAGAAGGCTCAGCAAGCATGTCAGAGTACCAGGACAGCCTCATTTCTGGGGCCTTCAGAAGGCTCAGCAGGCATGTCAGAGTACCAGGACAGCCTCATTTCCGGGGCCTTCAGAAGGCTCAGCAGGTATGTCAGAGTACCAGGACAGCCTCATTTCTGGGGCCTTCAGAAGGCTCAGCAGGCATGTCAGAGTACCAGGACAGCCTCATTTCTGGGGCCTTCAGAAGGCTCAGCAGGCATGTCAGAGTACCGGGACAGCCTCATTTCTGGGGCCTTCAGAAGGCTCAGTAGGCATGTCAGAGTACCAGGACAGCCTCATTTCTGGGGCTTGACCACCTTAATTCTGTTTTTCACTTGTTTGTGTATCGTGTGTTCATGGTGACATGCGTGCCGTGGCGGAGGCCAGAGGACAGTTTTCAGGAGTCAGTTCCCTCCATTGACCACGTGGATCCTGGGGCCTGAAGTACTTTACCTACTGAGTCCTCTCACTAGCACAGTTGACCAGGTTTTAAAGAACATCTTAAAAAAGAAAGGAAAAGAAAATCTTCTGTAAATGTTTTATTAAGGTCTTTTATTCTCTTCTTTTTTTAAAAAAGCAACTTATTTCTTAATATCTGAGAAATGTTAGCTTATTAAACTAGGTGTAATGTTAAAAGAACTATGTAACTTTGATGTCTATAAAATACATGCGGGCATCATCATGTTCTAAGAGGCCACTACATATGCATCTGTGATATATTTTAATTAATAATTACTAATTTATTTGTGATGCTGGGATTGGACCCCTAACATTGAACTGTGTTTTGTTTGTTTTAAAAGGAGTCAATGCAGTTTCAATACATCCCCAAAGATACCTAGGATGTTTCAGATTGTTGGGTTGTTTTATAGATCACATTGCACTGTAGATACATGGAGGAGCTGCTTACTAAAAACTATAGTAGAATGTAGATAATTCTACTTACACATACATGGATGAAGCATTTCAAGTTCTAGTGTTATATGTATCTTGTTACACTTGTTTCTTAGGTTTTCCCTAACATTGATCGATTCTTTGGATACTCTGGTGGTAAGTTCCATTTTTCTTGGACTTGCTTATTTTATAAGTTTCATGATATCCACACTCAAGTAATATAAATGTAACCAGCATACTATGTATGTAATAGAAGCCATAAGAATTTAAGATGTTCAAATCTTTACTTCTCAATAAAGCTTGAACTTTACGTAATATGTAACATTGCTGTATTAGGTCAAATTATTGTCAAATACAATCATGTAGCACAGTGGAGATACTCAAGTAATTTATCAAGGTATCGACTCACATCTCCCATGCCTTTGGGTAAGGAGGTTGAAGCTTTTGAAAGAAGGTAATTTGGAAAAATACTTTGTTCTTGTTGTATCAGGATGTATGCCACATGATGCTGAAGTTTTTATGCTGTGCTTATAAGCAAACCTTGTTTTCCCCAGCTGGATTTTGGCTCTCTTTTCCAACCCATGTACTATAGAGATCGTGTTAATGAGTATTAGTTTTGGAGTTGTTTGTGGTAGAGGGACGAGACTGTGAGTCAGACACCATGATGCTGAAATACTGTCTTTCCAGTGTATTATCATTGGACCATTAAGACCATCGTGGAATGTGGCATGATTCATGGTCCTCTTTAAGGGCTAAATGTGCACTTTGAGTTAACATTCCAACTGCTGATTAAAACTAAGAACAAAACAAGATAAGGCATCTTTCAAGTAGTAGGAAGTTTTTACTTCCTGATAGTTTTCCTGTATTTTCCCCGCCACACATTCTTAATTTTGAAACAGAAATCTCACCATGTTAGCAGCTTAGAGAGTGCCTCTGATATTCAAAGAGACAAATAATCCACTCAGGTTACTGCTCTTTGATTGTTCTGGCGAGGGTTAGTCCTGCTTCCCTCTGACATTACTATAGCCATGGTGAAAGTGGATTGCTTAGACCTTTCTGCTGTGCTAGAGTTTTGAAAGTTACAACTTCACTTAGCAAAGATGAATAAAAAATGCAGAGATACTGTTAGATGTCATATTTCTGATTTAGTGGTCCCTGGTTTTTTGAATATCATAAGGAAAAGAGAGAAGATACACAAAATATCCCAGCAGACGTAAGCATATGTTCTGGAGCTGTACAATCCCTGGGAAGCTACAGCTGTCACCTAGGGGACTGAGGATGTGCTTTATGTGTAACTAGCTGAGGGAGGCACAGGGCTCGGGATGGGGTGGTGAGGAGCAGGAGCAATGAGTGACAACACTGACGAATGCCGACACTTCTTCCTCGTTCCGGCTCATTCCTTCAGATAGCAGGTGCCCTCTCGTTTCTCTCTTAGTGTCTTAATTTATTTTCATTACTATGGACTTCAGTTATTACTGTTTTATAAAATATTCTCAGGCGTAAAGGAGATAAGGTGGTTCTAGACTGCATAACATTCCTACATTTAGAAATCTGTCAACTTCTCTTATTGGGTAACCACAAATTATTATGAATTTAATATTTTTAAAGAGTTAGTTCTCAAGTAATACTATTAATTCTATTACTATAACTATTAATGTTATTACTAGTTCTGCACTAGTAATAACAGCATTATTTGGGATATAATTAGACATACAAATTGAGGGCTGGTGAGATGGCTCAGGAGGTGCATTTATCACCAAGCCAGACAACCTGGCCAGCAGGACCCACATGGTGGAAGGGGAAAACTAACTTATCCAAATTGTCCTCTGACACATACACACACACAGTGGACTATGTGTGCCTACACACAAACACAGGCATACACAATAAATGAAATACTACTTTATAAAATATTTTATTTCAGTCTTTTCAAGTGGAAATAACCAAAGTAGTTACAGATCATTGTAGAATTGGAAATGAACAAATTATTTTGAATCTTTAATCATTTTCTTAAGTATTTTCTTTTGATTTTAAACGGAATTGGAGAAAAGTAGGGTACTTTTCAAAGATTTTCTTGTACTTAGAGTGGGGGTATTATCTTGCATGCTTTTATCAATGCAAGTATTAGTATTTCTAATTAAATTTGCCTTTTAAATGGTGATTATTTTTAAATCTTGTAATTTAACAATTTGAAAATACTAACAGCACTTGTGGTGATTAGTGTGCAGAACCCAGCCATTTTTATTTTGTTTACAACATAATATGTTAAGTCAGTTTCTCTTGCCATAGTTGGAATTTTAAATTTAAAATGTTCAAAATACTAGTTTCACCTTGTTGTCATAGAATCAGGCACTAAAACATTGCACCTTTAAGTCTGATTACTGTGAAATCTGAAAAGGCAGCAGTTGCCGAAACAGAGTAGAAGCAATGGAGGGAAGGCAGAGGCCCAGACTCACCTTTTGTTACTTGGTAGGCGATAAAGAGACAGATGAAATGGTGAGTCTGTTAGAATTAATTCTGTAGCTGATCATGGGCAACGATAACCTCTGTTTGGAAGTGTGGCATTGGTGCTCCTGTGGTGTGTGTTTGAAGAAGCTTCTGGGCTCCTTGGGAGGGAAGTGTGGCTATAAATTAGAACAGTTCTCAAGAGGGAGACCACAGAGATTAACCAGGTAATAAGAAAAAGAGATGGCCATGGGGAGAGAGCAGTTGTTTCTCATCCACGTGATGGGAGGGCGCATACTCTGCATTTGCTGCTGTGGGGCTTACGTGCCTTGTGGGACTGGGAAGAGAAACTGGTCAGCTCAGAACCAGGTTCCCATTGACTTTGATTTCAGGCTGTCCTAAATTTTACTTGAATTTTAGACACATACTCTTAGGGAATCGCTCATACTTAGTTAGGATCAGCTCAAATTTCAAAAAGTACTGCATTGTCAAACAAAAAGATTAAACAAAGGCAAGCTTCTTTTACTGCATCTAGTCTCTAAATAGCATTTAATCATGTTCCTAGATGGAAAATGAAAGCTGCCTTTGTAATGACAATGACCCCTTTTCATGGAGCTTATTCCAAGAACTCACAGAGGTTTCAGTCGAGTCACGAGTCTAGACTGCGTGATTATTATAGTGATGATATTAAACATTGAAAATCAGTACTTTTGTCAGACATTCTGGCTAAAGTCCTGTACACACATGACCACGTTTAAGAAAATGGCTCTACGGAGTAGGTCCTCCTCCTTCACAGATGAGGAATATGCTCAGAATTGGAAGTAACTTGACTTGAATCACAAGTCACCAAGGTCAAAGAACCAGAACTCACACCAGGACCTGGCCTTTACCATAACATACTGCTTCTTTTGCCAGTGGGGTAACCGTGGGGTAAGGGTGGCATAGGGTGAAGGCTTAGACTTAGTCAAGTGAAGACAGTACTTTCTTTTGGAGTTGGCAATTTCTTATTTTACACACACACACACACACACACGTGCGTATGTGTTTATTCTGTGTGTATATGTATGTGGGTGCAAGTACCACACTGTTTTACAACTTGCAGGGGTTGGTTCTCAGGGATTAAGTTGAGGTATTCAGGGTTGGCAGCGAGTGCCTGTGTATACCCACTGAGCCACCTCAGCCCCAAAGAGCTTAGTTGCTAAGATGATGCTTGATGAGCAGGATGATGTTTACTTTGGTCCAACTTAGAAGCCAGATCCCAGCAGAGGACCTCTCATGCAGCTCTAGCTGTAGGTCATGGGCAGTATATGCACATATACAAATATGTACAATGTTTAAGGAAGAAGAACTAGAAGTAGGAAAAGAAAAAGTTCTCTATATATCCCTGACTGTCATCTAAGTATGAAAAAAAAATTTTTTATCTGAATCATTTGTATCTAGAAGTTTGTATTTTATAACATGTCATAGTCTTTACAGGCTGTACATTCCTAATCCAATAGCCCCAAATACTTGAATACTTAAAATGCTTGCAATCTATAACATTTTGAGTGGTGCCAACAAAATATTCAGAACCTAAAAATTTTAGATTGATGCATTTTGGGTTTCAGATTTTGGGCTTAGAGATGTCCAGCCTGTATCGAATCTACGCTAAATTCCTGTGGTATGTCCTTTAGAGCCCTGGAAGTCCGTCAGTGTGTAAAGATGCTCCATTGTTTGCACTTTTCAGTTTTACACAGTATCACATTTTTATAATATACTTAAGGGTATATTATTTTGTTGCGTCATTTTTTCTGAGTCTTCAAGTATGCTAACATTAACTTAGTATCTCATTCTGAGTATAATTTTTTTTTCTTGATTTGGTAGAAAAGACTTTTATTTCATTCTTTTCTTTTCCTAGGTACTAAACAAAACGAAGGAATTTGAAGATGCAGTGAGGAAAGTTTTAAGAGATGTTAATTTAGATAATGATGTAGTTGTGTCAGTCTTTGAAACAAACATCAGAGTCCTTGGGTAAGTGTGCAGCACTGAAGCTATAGTGCTAGTGTAGAGAAGCTCCAGCTGATTATTTCTGCAGGTAGTAAAGACGTTTCTTATGCCTAAAAGATAAAATTGTTGGGGGAGGGGCTGGGAAGATGGCTCAGCAGTAAGAGCACTAGCTACGCTTGCAGAAGACCCAGGTGCAAGTCTCAGCTCCCACATGGCCCCTCACTACCAGTGATAGTCCAGAGGCATGTGATGTCTTCTTCTGGCCTCCAAGGGCACTGCATGCATGTGGTGAGCAGACATTCATGCTGCTGAAACACTCCAAAACATAAAGTTTTACAAAATAAATAAAAAGATAGAAAATTTGAAATCCAGGCACAGTGGCTCAGGCTTATGATCCTGGTGCTTTGAAAGCTGTGGCAGAGTAAGAAGTCTGAGAGCAGCCTGACCGCACAGTTAGAGTGAGGCCTCTCAACACTTCCCTTTGCTCAGAAGGTAACATCTGGGCTGCTGTGAGACAGCCATGGGGATAGCCTTGTCTTGTGCTGTAACACACATCCAGTCTTTGGAGGACTCAGATCGCTGCTGAGGTTTCCAGGAGCCTCCACAGTTGGCCGGCCAGCATTAGCCAGGAGCCTCGCAGAGAAGCCAGATGAGACTCAGTTAACAGTCTTGCTCCTCAGGCAGTCAGAAATGCCCTTGAGGGTTAAAGTGTGAGATTATAAAATTAATTCATCCCACCGTTAGGTAAGCTTATATTTGGTAGCTTTTGTAATTTTCTGTCCCATCTCCTTGTCAAAGTGAGTTGCTCTCCAACTAAATGTAAGAAGTTCTTGCTCCTTAGAGATTATTAATCCTTAATGATGATAAAGTGTTTTTAATTTTTAAATTTTATAGTAAGAGTCAAAGATTTCATGGTGATAGAATTAAACTTTAAATTTATTTAAAAAAACGTTTGGCTCATTTGTTAAAATACATGTGATATCTAGGATGTTTTCTGGTTTAAAAACATTTAATATACTTAAGAATGTTAAGTACTTTACATTAGCTTGTATATTTTTGCATTTATTTATTTATTGTATTGTGGGGAAGGGCATGCAGGTCAACTTGTAGGAAGGAGTCAGTTCTCTGCTTGTGCTAAGTGTGTTTTGTAGTTTATAGTCTGATCTGCAGCCTTGGTAGCAAGTGCTCTTACCCCCTGGGCCTTCTTTCCAGCCCCAATGTTTCTGTTGTTGTTTTTAACATGTTGACTATGTGATGATAATAGTTTGTTATAAAATGAGTAGCCAGCCAAAAAGAATTAAATTATTCTGTAGCCTTTCCATATGTTTTGTTTGCATTTTATGGGGGACAAAGGCTCACACCCTCGGGTGTAGCTTGTAAATAAACGTGTAATTAAATTACAGGAAATATTTTGTCTCTGATCCTAGGGGTCTTTTAGGTGGACACTCCCTGGCGATCATGCTGAAAGAAAAAGGTGAATACATGCAGTGGTATAATGATGAACTTCTCCAAATGGCAAAGCAGCTGGGCTACAGACTCTTACCAGCTTTCAACACTACCAGTGGCCTTCCTTATCCCCGAGTAAGTCACTGTGAGCAAGTGCGACTCTCTTGACAAGTCTGTGTCGTTTACAGGATGAATTCCTGTTATCAGAGGTGTTCCTCTCCCGCATGAAACTGGAAAAAGATGCATCAAAGCTGGCAGCAAGGCTATATTGATGTATTGGCTAATTTACATTTGAGTGATGTGAAGATTAGATTATCATAAGCTTTCCTTGGCCTCAGTGTGTCTGTAGATCTGCTGCAGAAGGAGGAGACAGACTGCAGTGTGGGCCAGAGTTGTTGCTGCTGAAGCGGCTGTGAGAGTAGGAAGGTGCTACTCTCCCAGGAGAGGGAGGTGTGGAGGAAGACATTCTGGAGCAGGCGTCATGCAGCAGGCAGTGTGAGAAAGCAAGCGTAAGAAAAGCTCCAGAACGAGGGCTGTGTCTGGGCGTGACCCTTCCAGCCTTTGGTGGGCAGACTAAGGGAAGGGGGCTGCAGTGTGGGCCACTTACTCCTCAGTATCTTAATGTGGTTATTCTCAGGCTTATTATACAGTGCACTCGGGAAAATAGTATTACTAAAACATTTTTTTTTTTTATTAAATTGCATTCAAAACTTTTGCATTCTCCCTGCTCCATTGAGTGTCCCTTAACATTGAGAAATCTTTATAGCTTGGCAGTAGACTGTCTGGTGTTCTCTGATAGACCTAGTTACTTTTGTATTGCTGTGACAAACACACATAACATAAAACTAGAAGGGTTTAGTTAGGTTTATGGTTTCAAAGGGTTAGAGTCCATCACACCTGAGTCTTCAGGCATGGCAGCAGGAATGGCTGAGAGCTCACGTCCCACACTTCAGGTGGGACGCAGAGAGCACACAGGGACGGTGGCAGGCTTTTGACTCTTCCCAAGCTCAGTCCTGTGACAGGCCTCCAACAGGACCACACCTCCTAATTCTTCCCAGATAGTACCCCCAGCTGGGAACCAAGTATTCAAATGTGAGCCTATGGGGCTGTTCTCATTCCAACCAGCCTGCTCCTGTACCTCAGAGAAACCACTTTTCCACTCAGAACAATACCTAGTGCTCTCTCAAACCCCCAGGGACTTGTTTATTGCATTCTTTTAGGCCTACCCTCCCTACTGCCTGACCTAGCTTCTCTGAGAGTGTAAGTCCCGCCAGGCCCGTTTTCTGTGGTCATGGTTGACTGAGGGTGCTTGAGCAGATGATCCAGGCGCGTGCTTCTCAGCCCAGAGCTCGTCATATCCATTGCTTTCCCACCACGTGAGTAATCAGGCCTGGCACGTTTTCTTTGATGAAAGACTAGGATTAAACCCCTTTTTATTTAAATTTCTAGTTTGAATATTTTTCCTTTTTTTCTTCTGTATTGCACATTGTATGTATGTTAGTATGAGCACATGCTTATTTACATACGAGTTGGTGCGTGTATGTGTGTGGAAGGCAGGTTGGGCTCAGACCTGAGGTAGAAGTTGGCTGTCTTTCTTCAGTCTTTATTGTTTTGGAGACAGGATCTCACTGATCCTAGCGCTCATGAGTTTGCCTAGGCTAGTATGAGCCTTTACAAGTACAGGGGTTATAGGAACATGCTGCCACCCCAAAAAGGTTCTTGTGCCTAAGCTGCAGCACCACTGCCCTTTCCCGGGCCCCAGGTTTAGTATTTTAAATAGCTCTCTTGTAAACAATCTTACATTGTATGTTTTTAATTTTTTCCTTTTGCGTGAATTCCTAGAGAAAAGAAGTATGAAATGCTTTTTAAGACTTTGAGTATTACCAGACTGCTTTAGGAAATGTGTGACATCAATGCTATATAGTCATTTTAAATTGAGAATTTCTTTGTTTACTGGTCATTTTCCCTTAGTTTACTAAACTTAGATGCAAAACTATTTAAAGCAATATGTAATATATTGAATTTACTTTTAGTTTTTGTTTTATTTTCATTTTTTTAAAACTTAACAGCTGTTACTTTTCTATAGTTCCTCATCTAGGCATGTCCTTGTGAGATTTTTTTTCATCTATGTTGGAATTGTCAGAAGATGTGTAGATCTTGTTTAGGCAACTGTATTCTTGAGATTTCAGGGGGTAGCTTCCTTGTCATATATAGAAGACACTGTCTCATAGTAGACTCCCTCGTCTTCTGGCTCTTAGTCTTTCCACCCCTTCTTCCATGATGTTCCCTGAACCGTAGGTGCAGGAGTTGTGTTGTAAATGTATTGATTGGCCTGGGAACTCCATGGTCTATGGTTTCTCTGCATTTTGACCAGCTGTGCTTGCTGTAATGGTCTCTACCTGCTGCAGAAGAAGCTTTTTTTCTTGTTTTTGTTTTTTTTTTGAGAAAGAGTTTCTCTGTAGCTTTGGAACCTTGATGCGGGAGAATTGTCTGTATTCTGTCAATCATATTTTAATAAAACGCTGATTGGCCAGGCAGGCAGTATAGGCGGGAAAGCCAGACAGGAAGTAGAGGTGGAGCAAAGAGACTGGGAGTATTCTGGAGGCAGAAGCTCCCTCCACCATTCCTGCCCAGACCACCGAAGAGGCAACATGTAAGCTGACAGCTGAAAAAGGTACCAAGCCATATGGCTAACATAGATGAGAATAATGGGTTAATATAAGCTATAAGAGTTAACAAGAAACCTGAGCTAATGGGCCAATCAGTTTATAATCTTATGGAGTCTTGTGTGTGATTTTCTTTGGAATATACCGGTTGTGGGGTACTGGGCGGGACAGAAACTCCAACAAGCCGGACCCATCATGTTACAGAACCTGTCTTGAAATTTGCTTTGTAGAGCAGGCTGATCTTGAACTTACAGAGATCCACCTGCCTCTGCCTCCCAAGTGCTAGGATTAAAGGCTTGAGCCACCACTGCCTGATGAAGAAGCTTCTTTGATGTGAGTGAGCTATGCCTGTCTGTGGGAGTTAGAATAAGTATTTAGAATGCAGTTGGGAATTATACTGGTTTAGGACAGTGACAGTCATAGGTTCTCCTTTAGGGTCCATGATCTGATCAGCCATCTTTCTTATTTTGCAACTACGCCCAAACCAGTGATATTTTATCTCGTTTCTCACATTATTTTTTTAATCAGTTCTTCATTTTTTTGCACTCATTTGTGATGTTTCCATTATTATTCTTCTCTATTTCCATATACATCCTATTTTTTTCTGTCTGGCTTTTAAGCTCCTTGAAGACAAAGATCAATTTCTTTGTATCTTATTGTATTATCTACTATACAATAGATAATAAATATTGATCAGCGGATAAATATTGAGGTGGGAGTCAATGTCCTCAGTAATGAAGCAACTGGAGAGTTCCCCCATATTCCGCTGGATAGCTCCATACTCTTGTGGGCAGCCCTAGTTAAACTCAGCGAGTCTTGGAGCAAATATAAAAAGTCGTGATGGAGACTGGTGAGATGCACATAAAGGCACCTGCCATTAAGCCTGACAATCTGAGTTTGATCCCCAGGGTCCACTTGGTGGAAGGAGAGATCTGACTCCCCCAAGTTGTCTTGTGACTGCTTCATGCATGATGTGGCATGTGTGTGCCTCCACAGCCAATAAATAATGAACGTAATGAAAGAATAATAGTAGGAAGAGGACGTAATGGGGGAAGGAGCACCAGGGTGGAATAACGAGCAATCAGAATGTATTGTGTACATGTATGAAATTGTCAAAGGATAAATTAATTTATAAAAACTTAAAAAACAAAATTTTAATGTCTTTTAAATATATACCATAGCAATCATTTTTCTTTATGAACTGTTTAACATTCATTGTACTAGATTCCTAATTTTTCAAATGTAATTTCTTCTAAGACTGATCTACCCTTTTAATGGTTATATTATTATAATGGTGTTGCATTATTACATCATCAAGAAAAAATAAATTAGAAGTTATTTACCATATAAATTCTGTATGCTCAGAATATATTTTCCTAGATGTTTGACAGTGACTGATTGGGAACTCATCTGTCTCTTGGTAGTTGCTCATGGTAACATTCTCATTGTATTTAGATTAATTTAAAGTTTGGCATCAGAAAGCCAGAAGCCCGGACAGGAACTGAGACAGACACCTGTACAGCCTGTGCGGGGACCTTGATTCTTGAGTTTGCTGCATTGAGTCGGTTCACAGGAGCAACAATATTTGAGGTTTGCTTCTCATGGCTTTTCATCTGGGGTTCAGGAGGAGCTAACTTTCCATTTGTTTCATTTGGCTAAGGATTAGGACTTGCCGTTGTAGGATTACTGCTTATTTAATGTACTTTTAGTCAAATCTTAGTGTTACAGGCATGGAAGTCATCGTGAAGCAACTGTATTAAGTATAAGTTCGCTTTTTGTTCACAAATCATAAAGTAAAATTTAGCTTTCTTCTTAGAAGATTGTTTTAACTACATTATGTAAATTTGATGACTTCTTTATAGCATAGATGTCCAGGGGTCTGTGCTTTATTTGTTAGACTTCCAAATGGTTGACTGTATTTCTGAAACCTTCAGAAACCATTTAAACCCATAGTGAAACTTTTGTACATAAGCCTTGATTAAGACTCTGATGTGTAAATATGTTTACTCCAAGGGAAAAGTTATTCATTATTAAGACTTATATTGTCCCACATATTTTATTGGGGTCTGTCTCTGTCTTACATTTAAAAAAAATCTACTGTAACTGTTCATTTGAATGTACTTATCATCAGAATGCAAGAGTTACCTAAGTGCCTACTTTCTTAGACACTTGACTTAGATGATGTTTTTTTTTAAGTCATAAGATGGTGACATGGACAGAACACCAGTAGGGAACACAAAGCACCATTACAGATACTGGATAAGGATGTGGACTAAGTCAGCAAGGTCTTGTGCCCCGTACTTGTCTGGGTGTAAAGGATGCCTTGAGGACAGATTTATCAGGAGTGATTGGTTAATGTTTTAAACTTAAAATTTAAAATAAACCCATTGTCTAGTAGTTTCCCTTTATTAGACAGTACAGGTACTTATACATATGTTTTAATATAATATTAATTAAATAGTGTTTTAATATAATACTAAATTTAATTAAATATTAAATTTTTAATATTCTGAAATATCGATGCATTTATAGGTGAAAATGAGTGTCAATAGATAAATCTCAGTCCATGGGTGAATGAATGAACTTGGATGTAGAGTCCATGTCTTGACTCTTTCCATTGGCCTATTTTGTTTTTCTGAATATATATGTTGGAAAAAAAAATCATGATTTTAAAAACCTCCTAAAAGCCTTTGGCAGAAGTTGGCTGCCACAGGGCTAAGCTGTGGTCTGTCTCCCTCAAGTCAGTGTGAAAGCACAATTGTGCTCAGTGACTGTCTGTCTCTCTGCCTGAGAAGTCGCGGTCAGTGGCAGGACGACTCATGATGCCTGGACTATTTTCTGCCTGTCCATTGTCAGAAAAACTGCTGACCCTAATAGATGGAGACCAATATAAAAAAAATCAGAGTTTTTGTATTAATGTTCTATAATTCAATTTTAAGCTTTAGTTAAATCTGTAATTTTACTGTGCGTTTTTGAGCTATAAAATGAAATGGGGAAATATAACCAGTATCACACTTTACAGATTTGAAAATTTACCCTTTAATGATAGTCGTGGTCTACTTTGTTGAAATATAATTACCATGCATCATTTGCTATCAAGAATGTAAATGATTTTCACTCCATTGCCAAATCTACAAAGTAGCAAATTAGGTTTAATGATTTTTTTTTGCTTGCAGTACTAAATAAGTTCATGTCCTAAAATTAATTTAGAATTTTATCAGTAGATATCATTTGCTATTCCATGTATAACATCTTTCTATCCAAAGTTAAGAATTTTGTAAGAAATAATTTAATACTTAATGGGTAAAAGTAAATGAAAAAAGGGATTATAAGGTTATAATTTTATATATACATAAATATATAAAAAAGTTCTCAGACTAGTTGATTTGCTAATTTTCCACTAATAAAATTATGCCTCACTTAAAAAAATATCTGAAATGAGTTTCAAAGATTGCATATTAGCTGTGAATTCTCTTCAGATTTGCTAAGTAAGACTACCTTATGAGATTTCCACTTTGTACTTGGGTGGTAATAATTGTTTTAACAAGTGTATTTAATTATATCAGTTTAATATGATCCTTGTCTGAATGTGAACCTTGCTGCAAGAGTAAATGACCATGGATATTCACCAAGTAAAATCTCTTAATATGAAGTCAAGGCAAAATTTTAAGAAAATTTATAAGTGATTATCTTAAGAATTTTGCTTAGTATTAAAAGGTTCTATGGTCTTTGATTTATAATTTTCCCCCTTCTTTGCCAGAGACAAAGTTCTTCAAGTATGCTTTTGTTTTTTAATTATAGGAATATGCGAGAAAAGCTCTTGATTTTCTCTGGGAAAAAAGGCAACGAAGTAGCAATTTAGTAGGCGTGACTATCAATATTCATACTGGAGACTGGGTTCGCAAAGGTATGCAAGTGGGCTTTAAAATCAGACCTTCACATCCTTAGGATGGTAGTAAATACAGCATTTTCTTTTTTGAAGATGATCGGGATAGCATTCTTTCACATTTTAGTCGTATAGCATTTGCAGGTGCAGGGAGAGACAAGACATTGGTTTCTTCGAGGATTAAGGGATCAGAAGACTTTGTCTCACGTCACAGTCCCCCTCTCTCCCTCTGTGTGTGTGTATGTGTTCTGCCTCTGGAGAGTGGAACGTAGACTCCGAAGTCCTGTTCTTGGAATTTAAGCTCTGTGATCTTGGGCAGATTATGTCACTTGTGTTTGCCTCTGTATTGTGTCTGTAAGATGAGGCATTAGTACCACTTTAGAGTTACTGTGAAGATTCCATGAGTTAGCTTGGCATCCTGAGGACAGTCCTGGCTATGTGAAGGCTATGTATTATAAAATGGTATTGGGGGAAGAGGGCCGCTTGTTTGTCCCGGCCACCCAGAACCGAAATAATCACACAGTAATCATATTATTTAAATCATTGCTTAGCCCATGAGCTGTAGATTCTTATTGGCTAGCTTCTACATATTTAACTCATTTCTATTAATCTGTGCATCTTCACGAGGTCATGGACTACCAGCAAAGTTTCAGCACGTGTCTACCTCTGGCTGTAGGATCCTTGGCATTTCCCTGACTCAGCCTTCTTCCTCTCAGCATTCTGTTTAGTTTTCTCTGCCTACCTCTGTTCCCCTACAGCTCTGCTATAGGCCCAAAGCAGTTCCTTCATTAACCAATGAAAGCAACACATAGACAGAAGGACCTCCTACACCAGAATGTCACAGATATGGTATTAGTCCGCCTGACTAATAACTTTTACTTCTAGAATCTAGCCTGAGGAAATAGTACAAGCCACAGAGAATTTGTTTCTAAAGATATTCATCATGTATTCATTGATAATATATTCCCCAGGCAACAGGAAGAGAGAGACCCTGGGTCTGGCAAGGAATTTTGAGACATTAAGGCCCTCCCGCAGTGACCACTTACTCCAAGAAGACCATACCTACTCAAACAAGGCCACAGCTTCCTAATCTCTCTTCAATAGTGTCACACCCTGATTAAGCATTCAAATATATGAACCTCTGGGGACCAGTCATTCTTATTTAGTCCGCTACTCAGCATAATTCAATTCTTTGTGAATGAGTGCATACATGTGCACAGACACATTTTCTTCAGCTGTTCATTTTTGGACACTATAGCTTGGCTATAGTGCTGCAGTAAATATGTAGCTTTCTCTATTCTGTGCCAACTGATTCCTTCAGATATACACCCAGGAGAGGTATAATAGAATCATGTGGTAGTTTGATTTCTAAAGTCTTTCTTTCTTTCTTTCTTTCTTTCTTCCTTTCTTTCTTTCTTTCTTTTCTCTCTCTCTCTCTCTCTCTCTCTCTTCTTCTTCTTCTTCTTCCTCTCCCTCCTCCTCCTCCTTCTCCTCCTCCTCCTCCTTTTCTTCTTCTTTGCTTGAGGACAATTTAATTAGAGTTTAAAAGAAAAGCCCAAGGAAAGACAAGTTGTAAATCTTTGCAGCTGCCTGGAGGAGGAAGATTTTTGAAACGAAAGAGAAAAAGCTGTGCTGTTTGAGTTAGGCCAATATGGAGGTCAGCCACATGGTGGGGAAGGGAGCTTTAGAGAAAGAATGAAGCCCTAAGTGTTAGGGAAAACATACTTAAAAAGAGATAGAACAAAAGGAACACAGGAAAGCAGGCACACTTACACAGCTCCATGGCTGTGGTGTGGACAGAAGGCAGAAATTCTGGGAAGGGCACATCATCTCATTAAAGGGGTAATTATTCCTCTCATCTCTTTCACATGGTTTAAGGCAAATCAGCCTTCATAAGGGGCGGTGCCTTCACTTGGTGATTGATCAACCAACTGGATTAACTCTTAAGGGTGGAGACTGCACAAGCAGCTCAGGACAGGAAACCCAAAAGGAGTATTCCCAGATGCACCCTTGTTTTTCTGGCCAGGCAGTGTCAGAAGGGAGCTCTGTCTTGTAGACTATACACAAGGGCAGGAGTGGAACTCCAGTCCAGACACTCATCCCTCTGTGAACAGCTTTGAAACCGGATCTCTGAGTTTTCATGGTGAAAGTGAGCTTAAGTCTTCTAATTTCAGCTGTCTACTGAATGATTTTAGGGTTGCCTTCTTAGAGAGGGGAATGTTACAGTGGTATTGGGGGCCTGTTAAGGGAAAGGTATTTTTTTCTGGTCAGAAGAATGGAATTGAAAATTTTAAAATCCATACCGAGTTTCATAGTGGCTGGGCTAATTTACATTTCCATTCAATTATCAACAATGTAGAGACCTTACTGATTTTCTGTTTGCTTAACCTGTCAAGAATTAAAGTAGATAATTTCTAGCATTGATTTTTTTAAAAATCATTCTATTTTTGCTTTATGTATATATTCCATTCAGTATGGTGGGTGCATTTGTTTTAGATTGCTGTCTCTTAGCTGAACACTGTGTGGTGATCCTCTCCATCAGGTCCTCTGTCCGCCTTATCTTGAAGTTTGCCAGATTCACCTTTCCCCATCCTCCTGCTTTCACTTCTTGCAAGTTCTTGTGCTGTCAATGTGTCATTTGTAGAATTTGCACATATCTACATGGATTGTATTGCTTTTCATATTTTAATCTGTTGGTTTTTTTAATACACGTAGGCTCATTTATTTCAGTATGTTGCATCTTTTTTGTTTTTTCATCCTTTTGTTTTTGATTGATATATGTCTCTAAATACAAGCTGAGTGTGTTCTCTTATCCCTTTGTTTCCCCCTCCCCAACCTTTTTCTGCTATATCAATACTATATCAATATTTCATTCTGACTGACTCCTTCAGGCTTATTGTTCTCTTTCTCTACCTCTCCCCTCTTTTTTTTTCCTCCCTCACTATTTAAATAATAGCAGACTTCATTGGGGTATTTGTAACAAGGTTTCTCTCCTGCTCACCAGTTCCTGAATAACCACTCAGAGGCTTAATATTAATTATAAATGTTTGGCTGATGCCTCAGGCTTATTACTAACTAGCTCTTACATCATAAACCTAACCCTTTTCTACTAATCTATGTATTTTCACATAGCTGTGGTGTTACCAGGGATGCTCTGGCACATTGCTCCTTGGGCTGCTGCTGGCCTCTCTCAGACTCCATCCTTTTTCTGTATCTCTGCTTGGATTTCCCACCTGGATCCATCTTGTCTTGCCAGGCCAAAGCAACTTTATTTATCAGTCAACGAGAGCAACACATATTCACAGCATATAGAGATACATCCCACAGCATTATTTTAGTTATGTGTACTTTGCATATAACTTAAAATATATAGATTGAGTCAGGCAGTAGTGGTGCATGCCTTTAATCCCAGTACTTGGAAGGCAGAGGCAGGTGGATCTCTGTGAGTTTGAGGCCAGCCTGGTCTACAAGAGCTTGTTCCAGGACAGGCTCCAAAGCTAGAGAGAAACCCTATCTTGAAAAATAAAAAATGTGATATTGTTTTTATTTCTGTGTCCTAATATGTGATCTGTTCTTTCTTTCTGGAGAACTATAAATATCAAAGACAAAGAAAAACTTACAAAAATGTTGTTACAATTTTAGGTATAAGTTTCTTTTTTTCATTCAGCAGTTTTTGGGCCTTTAAATTAAAAATGTTTGCTTTTAATTGCTAAAACTTGATTTCTATTTTTTATAGAGACTTTAATTTTTCGATTTGTGTTGGTTAAATCACTGTTAACTTGTCCTCCATATAGCTTAGACATGCTGAAATAAATTTTCTAAATAAGAGAAAATTGTAATCAATTTTATATAGCAACTTTGAAACACAAGCTATTTGCAACAAGGGAGCTGTTATTCGTATAGCAGGCTGGGTTAGAGTTCTGCGGGTGTACAGTTTTATGTTAACTCTTCATGGTGGCACATTGTTTTTACTCTGCTCTACTAGTGTCCTCATTTGTATACCCTATGCATTTTCAGACATATTTAATAAAGGACTACATTTATATGTATTTCTTGTAGACAGTGGAGTTGGAGCAGGGATTGATTCATATTATGAGTATCTGTTGAAAGCCTATGTCTTGCTTGGAGATGACAGTTTTCTGGAAAGATTTAATACAGTAAGTTGATTTATTTCTCTATTAATTTTGTAGCTAATTCCGTTTGATTCCAAGATTGATGAAATCTTAACAACCTCAATGACCTTCTTAAAAGTTTGTCTTTAATGTGCTGTTGAGCTTCTTAGCCCTCTCTGGTGTTGGACAGGGTGATGTGTGAGCGATGCACTCCGCGAAAGTTCCCTTTTCATCTTCTGTCAGGGAGTGTGTAGCTCTGGCAGTGTGTGATTCCGCTACGTTTGGGTTTGACCTATCGTATTCTGAACATAGCGGACAGTTACTGGAATGAGGTATAGCTAACTCTCACTTCTGGGTTCCAGTTCTGTTTGAAATGTTGGAAGTTTGGCTCAGTCTTGATCACTCCAGACAAGAACCACAAGAACCACAGAGAGAAGCTTTGGGAAAGGAGAGGGTTGACCTCACCCTGGCTGCTTTGTACCTGAAGCAGCTGAGGCTAACATAGCAAACCCGTCAGTTGTCACTGTGTTCATTTCAACAGGATTTCCTTTCTGTTTTTGCTCACCCATCAGTTCACCTGCATCACATATGTGATATGTTTTGACATTGTAGTTCAAAATAGGAGAGAGATCTTAGCTTACATCCTGTTTGGGCAGCATACTGGCCGTGTGTTTTGGGGTGGGTGAGCATCTCTGGTTGCCTTTATTGCTCATCTACAAAATTGGAATACTGGAGCTTTTCCACCAGGTGTTTGGGGAGACTACAGAGTTTTTATGGACAGAGTAAGTAAACATATTCCAAATTGTCAATAATAGTAATTGAGCTAGCAAAACAGCTTCCTTAACGTCCTATTAAATTGGAATTAGAGAGATGTCTTAGTGGTTAACAGCACTTGCTGTTTTTGCAGAGGATCTGGATTCAGTTTCCAGCACCCACATAGCAGCTCACAGCCCCCTTAAGCTTCAGTTCCAGGTGGGCCAATGTCATCTGGCCTTTCCAGGCATTGGTCATGCCTGTGGTACACACATACTCATGCAGGTACTCATACATATACATAAAATAAAAATAGATAAATTTTAAGTCCTAGTAAATTTCTGAATACTAAAAAAAAACCCTCTACATATGTTATTTGCTGATAGTGAGATTTTTTTCTTTTTCTTTTTAGAGATGAGTAAGGACAAGTAACTTTTTGTTGGCTCATTAATATTTCTTGTCATATTTTCAAAGCTGAGACATATATAAGATAAACAGAAGAAGAGGAAAGGAGATTCTAAGAACAGAAAAAACAGAGCTAGCTGACCATGAGAGTGGTAATAGTGATTGTGTACATTTGTTTTGGTAGTAGCGAGGACCAGAATATTATGTTAGCAGAGAAGGGACCACATTTCCTAGATAAAGGAGGAAAAAAAAATCTAAACTCTATAAGATGTTTTTGTTCCAATGGGACCAGAGGATATTACAGGCATCATAACCATGAGCTGATCACATATTAGATAGAGATGTTCAAATTGGTTTCTCTCAGAAGACTCTACCCCCACTTTGCTGTGTATATGTGTTCATATATGCACAAGTGTGTGTGCTTGTGTGTGGAGGCCAGAGTTGATTTTGAGTGTTGTCTTCAGATGCTGTGTGCCTTACTTTATTGACGCAGAAGCTCTTCACCAAACCCAGACCTGCCCATTACCTAGACTGGCCGGGCCAGCCAGCCTTAGGGATCTTCTGTTTTTACCTCCTGAACACTGGGATTGGAGGATGATGCTGTCCCTGGCTTTTTCCTGTGAATCCTGGGTATCTGAACTCACGTTCCTTATACTCTGCAGTGAGCACTGTAGTGAGTGATGGATCCTCCCAGCCCCGGAAGGCCTCTTATTAATTGTTGTCTTTAATATTCTGTCTTCTAAAGATAAAGGATCTTGTATATAGCCTAGGATACCTTTGAACTCCTTCCTCCTACCTCAGCCTCCCAGTTCTAGTATTGTGGGCACAAACCAGTGTTTTTAGCCTTGTTTTCTTTTAAATCATTTCAGCATCTTAGTAGATAGTTGTATAAATTGTGATCTCTGTGTGTGTGTGCGTGTGTGCACCTGCCCATGTAGGGCATGTATACCTGCCCTAGGTTTGAAACCTTGGGTGTGTTAGACAAACATTCTTCCACTGAATTATACTCATACTTCTGCATCAGACTGAGAAAATCTATAGCAAAGTACATCATTTTTTTCCCTCTAAATATTTACATAATCAATTGACATATAGGGAATTTATCTATATATCTATTCAGGATTAATTCCTTTACTGTGCTGTGTAATATTTTTTACATCTACTTTCCTGAGCGTTTTGTTGTGATCTTTCAGCACTATGATGCCATAATGAGGTATATTAGCCAGCCACCTCTCCTTCTTGATGTGCACATTCATAAACCAATGCTGAATGCTCGGACCTGGATGGATTCTTTGCTTGCCTTTTTTCCAGGTTTGCAGGTAAAGGATCTATTTTCTTAATATTAGGATGAAATTATTTTAATTAAATATATTCGTGATCTCTAAAATCGAATGATAAAGTTATTATTTCAAAATTGTACTAATCTTGTAATATGATGGTTATAGATAAAATTAGCTCATGCTTTATACTAAGTGATTTTGTTGTTGACTTCTAGGTTTTAAAGGGTGATATTAGACCTGCTATTGAAACTCATGAAATGTTATACCAGGTGATTAAAAAGCACAATTTTTTACCAGAGGTAAGCAAATAATATTTGATATTCTCCTTCATACACACACACCACACCTATATCTACATATATCTATGTGTCTATATCTATATATACTTTCTAAATTTAAAGATAGAAAATATCTTTAAAATGTGGTTACTCCTTTAAATTTATATTATATAATCTTTTTGCTTTTTTCTGTGTGTTGCAAGGTCTAATTTAGGATAATGATGATACTGCTATAAAAGTCTAAGCTTACTGTTTCTCAGCCTGTTTTAACTCATTCCTATGTACTATTAACCACCACCTCTTGTTGTTTGGTTTCTTTTAAACATTTGTGGATTGATGGGGAACAAACCTAGGCCCTTGTGCACACTAGGAAAGTGTTCTACCACTGACATGTATTCCCAGCCCTAATACTGTCTCATTCTTACTTTGAAAAAAAATTTTTAAGTTTATTGTTATCATGTGCCAATGTGCGTGTGCACAGCCGGTGACTGTGGGACAGTGTGTGTATACCACAGTGCCTATGTGGCCATCAGAGGACTGAGTTGTGTAGTCACTTTTCTCCTTCTACTTTTATGTGTTTCCAGGGATTGAACTCATGTCAAGCTTGCACAGCAAGCCTCCTGACACGCTAAGCTATCTTGCTGGCCCCATTCTAGCTTATGGTGCATACTATCTGGTGGATCTTACTACTGTTTATATTCTGAAGCTTGTTTGATGAAAGTTATGTATATTAGGTGTAATTTTGGTTATCATAACTCATCCTAAAAATGTTGAGAATAAGCTGGGTGGTGATGGTACACACCTTTAATCCCAGCACTCAGGAGGCAGAGGCAGGTGGATCTCTGTGAGTTTGAGGCCAGCCTGGTCTATAAGAGCTAGTTCCAGGACAGGCTCCAAAGACACAGAGAAATCCTGTCTTGAAAAACCCAAAGGAAAAAAGATGTTGAGAATGTCTTCATGCTGACTGGAAATTGCTCTTTTTCTAAACAACCTTGCATCCATGATAGTTGTCTTTGCTATACTGATGTAAAGAGATACTTACTGAAAACATGTTTTTTGGCTTTCCAGAAATGCACCTTTACACATTTTGTGACGTGTTGCCTTGTTCTTTTTGTTCTCTGTGAAATATATAAACTTTCCATTAACATAGGTGTTTCCTAAGGCATTAGCTCTGGAAGGTATAGTTTTATTAACCCTCAAGTGCAAGGCTTTGTATTACAAAAAGCTCATATTTTTGATGAATCACATGAGGTTTCAACTAAATACACTGATCACTTACATTCTTATTACTTAAAAAAAAAACACTGTTGGGACTGAAGATATGCTTAAGGCACTGGCTGCTTTTCCAGAGGACACAGGTTTCCTTCTCACCACCATACGGCCATTCATAACCATCTTTAACTCCAGTGCCAGAGAATCAGCACAGACATACACACAGGCAAAACACCCAAACACAGAAAATAAAAAGCTTAAGAACACCTGTTGACAGAGGTTTCTGTCCCACCTGGTCCCGCAGCCATTCAGTCCCAAAGAAATACACAGACGTCCACATTAATTATAAACTGTTTGAACTGTTAGCTCAGGCTTCTTATTAACTCTTACATCTTAAATTAGCCCATAATATTTTTCTGTGTTAGCCACATGGCTTGGTACCTTTTATTGGTGAGGCATTCTCATCTTACTTCCTCTGTGTCTGGGTGACAACTGAAGACTGAGCCTTTCCTCTTCCCAGAATTCTGTTCTGGTTGCCCCGCCTATACTTCCTGCCTGGCTACTAGCCAGTCAGCGTTTTATTAAACTAGTACAACTGACAAAACTTTACAGGTACAAGACCATTGTCCCACAGCAAACACTGTTGACTGTTATAGATTAACTTTCATATAGACTAATTTTAATTTCAAGTAATTTCTTGATTTATTTTACTGAGGATTTGACATTATTATAAAATGAAACAGGCTACAATAAAATATACATACTTGAAACTGCCTAGAGTAGAAAATACATAGATAAAAATACAATAGGAAATACACAGAGTGTCAAGTGTTTCTCAAAAACGGTGTGTTAGATAAAACATAATTACTTGATTTAACATTCCACTCTGTGTAGGTATATGAAAACAGTATGCTGTACATCATAAACACAACTTTGTCAATTAAAGAAATTAAAAGGAAATTAGAACACCAGAAAAGTACTAATTCAGAGAGAAAAGGAAAGAAACAAATGGAAAACTCAGTTATTAGACAATGTAGGTCGTATTTATTGGCATTTCTAAGTGCCATTCTTGTTTTTTTCTGAGTTCCTTGTTGGTCCAGTTGGTTATTTAAAGGTCAGGTAGGGTTGGCACACTGCTTGAGTTGGAAAAGTGCTTGCAGTGCAAAGATGGAGACCTGAGTTCAATCCCTAGAACCCATGCAGTGCACACTTGTGATTCCAGACAGGTGAATGAATTTCTGGGACACACTGGCCAACCAGAGCCTCTGTCTCAAGAGGCAACACACATGGTTGACCTCCATACTTACATATATGAACACACATACATGAACATGATCACACAATAAAAATAACTTAAAGGCTTGGTTCTAAAATGTATTTTAGCAACAATAGTATGTTATGGATGAAAGTTTACGGTGACTTGTATATTTATTATTTTTACCTCTTATACATATTGCTTTGTATTCTAGAACTGCTTGTTTAATTTTCAGTCACATTTTTATGCTTATATGTTATTCTGTACAGGCATTTACTACAGATTTCAGGGTCCATTGGGCTCAGCATCCTTTAAGACCAGAGTTTGCAGAAAGTACCTACTTCTTATATAAAGTAAGAAAACTTATTATTCTTGGCTTCCCCCTACTTTCTTGTTCTTTTATAATAACAGTTAGTTAGTATTTAGTGTTATAATGGTTGGATTTATCATTATTTGCATTCATTTAGCTATCAAATTGTAGAAAGATGTAAGATATCTTGTAAGTGTGATGCCTTTTCAAGAGTCCTTGTGAAGACCAGGATAGAGGCTACAGGTCCAAACCCCAGACTCAAGGAATTAATATCCCAACTTGGTTATAAGTAAATCCTTCCTGAAGACTGTGAACATCTCTGCTGTAAAGAAGAGGGTGATGAACAAAATGAAAACTGAAAAAAATGAAAATAAAAAACCACTTGCAAAGATTTCTTTCAAAGGGAAATTTTATTTTTGGATCTGGGTCCTAAGGCAACCTCCCCACTTCAGTTGGGGAGCTCTTTTGAGCATTTAGAAAGTAACTTAAAGGCTGAAGCTTATGGCTTCAATTGTTTAAGGAATTCTGTAAACCAAATCCATCGTATATTTTCAAATCTGTGTCCTGTGTAACATGTATTCTAGTGACTGACACGAGGCCTGGCATGTAGTAGCTCTTGGTAGTTACTGGACGAGTATGGGTATATGGCAGCGTATATGCTGTGTCTGTGTTCTCCTTTTCATAGGCTACAGGAGACCCTTACTACCTTGAAGTAGGAAAAACACTTATTGAAAATTTGAATAAATATGCTCGAGTGCCTTGTGGATTTGCTGCCATGAAGGATGTTCGCACTGGGAGTCATGAAGACAGGTAAACAAGCACTTATTCCCTTTCCTCAACGACGGATACGGCACAAAATAGAGCTGCTTGTTGGGGCTCAGAGAAACAGTGTAGAGTCCTTGAGGATGCGAACCTTAGTTCATTGTGCTCGTTTTCAAAAACTCTTGGATCCACTCATTTTAAATTGAAGTGGTTGTGTGTGTGTGTGTGTGTGTGTGTGTGTGTGTATTTATTTGTCACAGTGCTTGGGGTGAGTAGGAACTCTGATGTTATTAAGTAGATACATGAAGATTATTTATCAGAACCTGTTATTAGGAACATAGAAACATTGTCCCCTGTGCTGTAATGTTTTTTAAAATAGTATGTAAAAGAACTTACCAAAATAATAAAAGAGCTGGATTATGGTTTGTATTCAGTTAAGAATTCTTTAACAGCATAGTCATGATCAGTGTGCATTCTGATTCTTTCCCTAGTGGGGAGACCAGTGGTGGCTTCTGAATACTAGAATACTGCACTGGATACTAGGTAGATGTGGGTGTCATGAAGTACTCACGTGATAAAGGGCACACATATTGACCAATGTAGTTGTCACATTCCTGCTATTTAATTAGACTTCATATCTCTGAATAACCAAAAGCTTGTTTTTGCACTTGGCTGGCAAACATCTATTTTGTAACTATTCGTAAGGCCTGTTACGAGCTGTCATTATACTAGTTTTAAAGATTAGAGAAACTCATGCCCTTTGAGCTTACTGCATTAATGAAGACAAGCATGTATAAACAGACTTTCAGATGTGCTGCAGACAATGCAAGCTGCTGTGTGGTCTTCTCTGAAATGTTTCTGGAGAATCCGGGTCCTGAGCAGGAGTTAGAAGGGAAAAATGGATTTAGGCAAAGGCACCGTAGACATGAGGGACACAGTACTCATAACGTCACAAGGCTGGTCCTTAGTCCTTTTCTCGGGGTGTTTCAGAAATAGTTCTTAGGCTCGGGACCCCCTTCCCTGACTATAGCGGATGGGGAATGGCTAGGTTGGGGAAGTGGACATACAGATGGCAGAAAAGGAAAGCAAAGACGGACCAGCACTTCCCTGCTCTCCAGGTGCTCTTCTGAGCCCTTTTTATGCTTAACTCTTGGGAGTAGAATTCCACTACAATCCTCATTTTAAAGATGAAGAACCCAAGGGAAAGAACTTAGAGAGGCGAAGGCCTCTGATGAGGCTAGTACCATGTTATAGAGGCGTAAACCATAGTTAATGTGCCCACTCTGTTAAGTGTCAGGGTTGATAGACGAGACCCACTTCTGGTCCTCCGAGGCTTTGCAGGCAGTGAGAGGGTGGCGGTGTGAAGAAATGGCTTGATAGGTGCTGTGGTGCGATGAGGACACACTGCGGAGTAGAGGCCCAGGTGATCCGTTCTGTGACAGATTTCACCTTTCAGAATTTATCAGCCCTCCCTCGAGCCTTCTCCCTCGCTACCGGGTTATCATGGCATTGTTGCTGGGCTTCTCACCACTGCCTTTGCTCCTTTCTGGTTGTACTCCAGTGGGTAGACTACCTCTTGAATTCTGTTGGTTGGGGTGTAGCTTGGTGGGTGTGTTAAATACTGAATTTCTTCCTTAGCTTCAAACAGACTCTCTCTCTCTCTCTCTCTCTCTCTCTCTCTCTCTCTCTCTCTCTC